GGACAATCCAGGCCACTCTCCCCATCTCACGGTCCTTCATTGTAACCCCACACACAAAGTCCCCGGTAAAGACTGGACAGCCTCTTTAAAGCATGAGTGTCTTTGAAGGGTTAGTGCTCTATCTATCACAGCATCCATTATCACCTTAGAATAAATTGGTTTTTTTAGAGCAGATAGTTGTTTCCCAGTAAAGGGCTTTGGGAATTGAGGCCAATGAAAGGGAAGCTTGGACGAAGGGAGGCGAGATGAGGCACTGGGGACACAGGTGTTGGCAGCACGGGAGGGAATGCTACAGCAGCAAAAGGTACCCGCCTTCATGGAGCCCAGGTCTCTAGAAGAGATATTCCCCAACGCCAAGAAAGTTAACTTTGTGTGTCTTACAGTTTCTCTTAAGATCGGTTTTGTCAAGGATAAAGCGATCTTCCCCTGCCATGAATAATTGTAATACCTAGCCCCTTGATTTTCATCAGTTGATTGGTGGGTTCATTGCTGCTGATAATTGACGGATGTCTTTGCTGGCTTGGTGAAGCTTCCAGGTGTTATCAGAGCAGGTGTTACTTCCAGCTCACCCAGCACCAGCACCTGGCATTGGCTGGCATGCTGTCGTCAGCTCCTATAGCAGATTCAACCACCAATCAGGTTTCTAGCAGTGTCGACGCAGAACTTTAGGTCACTTCCTGAGCTTCCTCTCGAGTCTAGTAAGTTACGTTTCTAAGAAGCCATCTGTTTTAAGCCATTTTCTTTTTCTTTCGTTCTCTTTGCCATCTCTCTTCCTCCCCATCTCTCTTTTCTTTCTCTCTCCTCTCTAGTGTTCTGATGTTTTAGGATAAAAATAATGAAAAGGAGTTATACCAGTTTAACTCAGGGAATAACCCAAAGGAGTAAGCAGGATGGTAAGCTCACTGCTCTAACCTTTCCAGTAAGGGAATGTTTTTTTTTTCCCTCTGGTTTTCTTTGGGGAAATGAGGCAACAAGAGGCTGAAGTCCCACTGCTTTGGGGGTGGGATGGGGTGGGGTGGGGTGGGGCAACCTGCTGCCTGTTGATGTAATAAAAACTAAGATGAGAGGGAGGAAGGAATGTCCACTGCTGAGGCCACCAGGATTATGTACAGGTTTCAGGTAAATCATGGTTGCAGTTCTTCCGGGTGTCATCCCTACAGGGCGATGGTAGGGAGACTCTTGCCCAAGGTTTGCTGTGAGAGCAGGGGCGTGTTGGGCTTGGGCCTTCTCGAAGCCACAGTGGAAAGCCAAAGTCCCATCCCGTGCTAGTAGAGGTCATAGCTCTTGGGAACTGGGATTGCAACACAGAGGAAACTCCCCCTTCCTGCCTCTGACCACACCCTTGCTTCTCTCACACCCGGGCTTCCCAGTCACGCCAGTCATGCCAATGGGGGCAGCTCTGGAAGGGCCTTTGGGAAAGGGGTTAGTGAGGTTGAAATCAGTGGCGTGGTATCACCAAGAAGACTCCTTGGGAAACCCAACAGGAAAAAGTTAGTTGGGCCAAGAAAAACCACCAGGCCTTTCTTTTGACTTGAGGCATTGCCTACATTTGAATAATAATAACTAAATTAAGAGTAACAATTGTAATGTGACTGTTGAGTGACTGCTGAGCCACGGTGATGTGCTAATCACATTTTATAGGGATTAGCTTTCGTTATTATACTAACTCTGCAAGGTAGACATTTTCTCTAGACAGTAAGACGTTCAAATTAAGGAGAGACGTTAGGAGAACTGTGAGAGGCCACAGAGCTTGTGTGGTGGGGCTGAGATCCAAGTTCAGGTTCATTGATTTTAAAGCCTTCCCTCCTTTCTTCCTTCCCTTTCCTTCCCCTCCCTCCCTCCCTTCCCTCCTTCCTCTTCTATTTTCTTTCTGTCATGCTTGCTTCATGTCTTTTTAAAAAAACATAAAATGTCACACACTCAGTGGAAGTCCCTTTGTGTCCCTCCTACCCAGATGGAGTCTGTCAGCTGAGGTGAGCGAGCGAGTGTCCCTCCCATCCATCCTTACGTGTGTCCATGGTTATGAAGGGTATGGAGCATTGTTTGGTTTAAAAATTTAGATATATGAAAAAGGGCTAAAAGTATTCATTAATAGAAAGAAATGCAAATGGATGTTAACTACAAGAAAAGATTTACCAAAGGGATTCATCAAAAGGGCAATGCAAGTTGAAATCACATTTAGACACCATTTTTTTTTAAAACTGTCAAATTGGTCAGTAGTCAGGATTTAGACAGTGTGTAGAAGAGGCTATGGGGAGAGAGGCACTCAGACTTCGATTGTGGGTGAGTAAATTGGTGTAATCTCTGTATAGGGCAATTTGGCAGCCTTTACCAAAGACACAAATGTGTGACATTACAAAAGGAATTTCATTTCTGGGAATTTGTATATAGGTATATTTGTATATATTCATTAGCACATGTGTTCAAGGTTATTCACTGAAGTATTGCTTGTAAAAAAAGGCCTGAAACAATTCACACAATGATCAATAGGAGGCTGGTTGAATAAATTATGTTACATCTCTATAATGGAATCCTCTGTAGTTATAAAGAAGAATGAAGGCACTCTCTATGCTACTATGGAAATTTTTCCAATGCATATTAAGTGGGAAAAAATCAAAGTGCAGAAGAATATGTATTGTATGCTCCCTTTTGTGTAGCAAAGGAGAAAATAAGCCCATGTATCTCTTTTTGTTTATATGTGCACACAGAAACTCTGAAAGTTTACATGTAAAACTAATAACAGTGTGCATGTGGTAGGAAAGGGGTAGGATGAGGGAAAGGAATAAGAATTTTAAATTTATTTCTTAAAATTTTTTTGAACTATGTGGGTAGACTTTGTTACCTATTCTAAAAATTAAATTAAAAAGTTAGAGTGAGATTACACAGTACAAATCATTCTGCAACTAATCTTTTCCAATCTGGTTTATGTTTTCAAGGCCTGTGCACGTGGTCATGACCTTGATCTTTCCTTTAATTATGCTGCCTTGAAATGTAGAATCTGGTGGCTGGAAAAGCTCCTGGAGATCACCTACCTCCTTACTTTTATATTACAGAAAAGAAAAATGAAGGTGCAGAAGTGACAAGTGGCTTGCCCAAGGTGGCCCTGCAGGTCAATGACAATATTGGGGTTGGCCTGAGATCTGTCAACCCCGACTGAGTGTCTGGGGCTACCTGTCTCCCCACTCCTAGGGCCAAAGACACCTCCTAATTCTTACTAAGAAGTGAGCAACTTTATGTGTTATCCTTTACTAGGGATGTTTGCCTGTTAAAAACAAAACAAAGAGGCCTGGCTGGTGTGGCCGGGTTGGTTGGAGTGTCATCCCGTACACCGAAATGTTGTGGGTTTGACCCTCCGCCTGGGCGCGTACGGGAGGCAACTGGTTGGTGTGTTTTTCTCATATCCGTGTTTCTCTCTCTTTCTCACAAAAGCAATGAAAAAATGTCCCAGGGTAAGGATAAAAAACAATCCAAATAAACAAAACCAACCCCCCCCAAAGATAAACACCACCAAACAGCAAACTGAGTGGTCACCCATTTATGCAACAGGGATCGTCCCCATCTCAGAAGTCAGAGAGCAATGCTTTGGGAGGAGGGAAACGGTGGGGTGGCGGATGCTAATGGTGAAGTCTGTAGCCAGGGATGAACTGAACTTTGTAGTATCTTCTGTCCCCTTTCCTCCTCTTAGTTAAATGAACAAATAAATAAAAGGAAAAGAAAAAAAGACAAACCCCAGAACTAAACAATTAGGCCATCGCTCATTCACTTACAAGATTAGTTCTACCTTCAGCTCTGGAAGAAACTAGCTTGTGGTTTGAATTGGTGATAGCATTTTTGTGAATATCGTTAAAATAACAAAATGTTATTAGACTCTTTGTTGCCATCAAGACCGTCAGGGCACCAATAAGCTCTCCCCCACAGGGACTGAGATCTTTGCCGGTCACCTCCTCTGGTCCATCCCTCTGCCATCAGGCAGGACCCGATCATCCATCCTGGTAGGAGAGGACCTTTTAGGATTTATCTTGTTAACAGACTCCAGCCCTTCTGGAGTTCTTATAGTCAGGCTCTGTGTCAGAAATGACGAGAATACAAAAGCCCTAAAATACGTGCTTTCATCTTAAATTAAATAGAATAGATGGCTGTTCCTTAAAATTTTATACCAGAATAACCATGAGGGATCAGCAACACTGTGAAGAGGCCCTTCCCAAATTTGGGATTTTGACCGTATTTGAGATTTTAACTTAAAATTTCATGCAAATGCTGGATTCCATGCCATAATATAGACATGTTTGTTTTAATGTCCACATTTATATTCTATTAACCATCTCCCCCATCCCCGCTACCCCAGGCTTCCAGTAAAATTGATGCTCTAAGAAGATATGTCATGTTGACCTATTGCTTTAGGTATCTTCTGTATAGATCTCAGCCTGGATCTTTTTGTACTCAAGTTTGAGAAGCAGGAGTTGGCAAACTTTCTTTGTAAAGGGCCAGACAGTAAATATTTAGGGCCATGCTATTTTTGTTACAAGTACTCAGCCCTGCCTTTGTAGCACTGTAATCAAAGCAGCCATAGACAAGACATAAATGAACTGACATGGCTGTGTTCCATTAAAACTTTATTTACAAAAACAGATTTGGCCCATGGCCTAGATTTGGTCTGTAGGCTGTAGTTTACCAACTTCTGCCATACACAATAAATGCCCAAGAGTTTATAAAAGGGAACTGTTTTCAGCTGGGACAAATAAGGAAGAGTGGGAGTAGAAATTCCATTGATCATTGAAGGCTGCATAGTATTTCAAAGAGCAGAGAGGAAATGACAGCATTATTAGTGGAGGACCTGTGTAAGAAAAAACATATATTTTTAGGTTTATGTGTAGGTGGGTGACAGGGAGGACAGGAAGTAGATCTGTTGGGCTGGAGGAGGGAACTCATGTCTCAGAGAAGCATTCTAAAACATCAGGCCCGGAAGGGACTTTGCTCATCATTTGCTTCTCATTGTACAGATGGAGAAATTAAGGTGAAGACTGATCTCAGATCTGGAAAGAGGCTGAGGTGTGGAAAGCCATGAATACCAGGCTAAGGGGTCTCAGCTCTGCTGTGCAGGTCAGTGATGTTCCGACATTTCATCACTTGAATGCTTATTTTTTTCTACATGCCATGTGACAAGATGTCCCAAAAGGAGTTCTTTGGGATGGAGTTACTTGCCATCCTCTGTACACCATTGTAAAATAGCACCATGGAGGTGGCGATAAGGCAAATGTGGAGCAATCACCTGGACAAGTGCCCAGGATCCAGAGCTTTAGCTTCTCACATTGCCGTCACGTTGCCCTGCAAGCCCAGACAGAACCCTGAGCTCCCCGTTGGTTACATAAGCAGCACTCACCTGCGTCTCTCCATCAGAACCAGCCGTCTGTCCCTTTCCCACTTCTCTGCCTCCTCTCACTGCCATCATCAAAGTCACAAATGCGCTGAGGACACTGGAGTGAGAGGTGCCAAACCCTGTGTGCCCCAGACGTTCATTCCTTGACTTGTTCTCTACTCATTACTGAGCACTTCTCGTGACCTGGGTGCGGAGGCTACACAGTGAAGAAGGCAAGCAGGCTGCTGCCCTGCGGGGCTCACAGTCAAGGTGTGTGTGTGGGAGATGGAAGGAAAGCACAAGTAACAAATAACAGAGTTTCAGGTGGAGGCGAATGCTGCGAGCAAAACTGAGAAAGATATTGTGACAGCGACTAGAGGGGCTCTTCCAGCTGGTCTGGCAGGGGAGACCTCTTTGAGGAGAGAACTGAAGGCTGGCTGAGCATCCGGGGCCGAGGGATGAGCAAGGGGGAGGGGCACTGAGTGTTCTGTGCCTGAGGGGCAGAGAGAAGGCGTGTGTGTCTGCCGGGTGGTGGGGGAGGGCAAGATGGACAGTAGACGAAGAGAAAGAGGTAGGTAATATAAATTGATGAGCTTGAACCTGGTCTATTAAATGACAGCCTGGTTTGCATTGTTAAAAAAGCATACAGGCTATTACCTGAAGGATGGCTTGGAAGGATTATGAGTAGAAGTAAGGCAACTGACAAGGCTAGTCCGGGGGGAGATCATGGTGGTGCGGATCAGACAGCAGCAGTGCAGACTGAGAGAAGTGGCTGAATTCGGACATCCTTTGGAAGCAGAAGAAACAGGACCTGTGGAGCAGCTGGACATGGGGGTTCAGGGTGGTGCTGGTGGAGAGAAAGCAGAAATCGAGGGTGGCTCCTTGGATGGGGGCTTAAACCCCTGTAATTGTGCTATCTTTGTTGTTGTTGTTGTTGGGACTGGAATGTGTGGAGGTGAACAGTTTTGCGTGGGGAATGTGTCAGCCCAGAGACCCATCATGGGGGGACCTTCGAGAGATCCAGGAGCGGGTATGCAGCTGGCAGGTACTTTTTGTTGTGTACCTCCAGCCTTAAAAGATGAGCATTCTCTCTAACAATTGCCTGAGGCTTGATTTGTTTGACCACATATTTTATATCTCCTCCCTGGACTGTCCGGGACGCCTTAAAGGAGGCCTGTCCATTCCAGGATCCTTTCTAGTTTCTGCATTTCACCTGCACCAGACATGCTGCGCTCTCTGCCCCACCTCTCCCCACTACCTGACTTCTCTGCCCATCCTGCTGGGCCCCAGAGTGGACATGCTTGAGGGACCTGATGCATATTGTCAAATAGCTCTTCCCAGAGATAGTGCCACTTACATTCCTATCAGCAGCAAAGACGTGTCAATTTCTCCACATTCTTACCAACGCAGGACAGTCTCGTTTGACAGTTTGATAGATGGTGACACATTTCAGTCAGTGTTGCAAAGACATACTTTTGAAGAGCCAAGTACTCTCTGTAAATTGCAACACACAGACTCGTTGAAGCACTCACAATCACTGTACAGGGATTTTGGGGTTTAGACAACAGCAATGGTTGCTGCTTGCTGAAATCCCGCTGTGTGCTGGGCACCGTGCTGTTCTGCAGGCGTGGCTTGTCCTCCCCTCTCCACAGCATCCTGCGCAGCGTGTTATTACCACCCCTCAGGTTCTAGACGAGACTGAGGCCAGGAGATACCGAGTGACTTGTTCCAACGGCAGAGCTGGGACTCCCATCGCAGGCCTGTGCGGGTGCAGAGCCCAGGCGCCTGCTCATCGGCCTCCTTCCTTCTGTCCTGAGAGGGAGGCCGGCCCAGAGCTGCTCCCTGCCCAGGACGACAGCATGAATGGAACTTTTTTTGGTAATGCTTGTCACCCCTTCGCGTCTCCTTCTCACCTTCTGTGCCACAACATTCCCTGTAGGTTCAGGGGTGGGAGGTGACTCCCTGCTGGTGACCTCCTCCTCTGCCACGTCTTTCCTGTCACACAGGAGTGAGGTCAGTTTTGTTTTTTCCTGATAATAATACTGAGATATCTATAACGAGGGCCCACTACGTGTGCAGGTCCTGTCTGAAGCACTGTCAGTCCCTATAGCTTCCCATGCGGCACTTACCGTTGTAGGCATTGTATGTGCTTACCGTAAAAGTATTGAACAATAGAGTTCCTAAGGACTGCTCCGGCTAAGGTTTGTGGTGTGTTCCCGTCTAGGATATTTTTCTTGGCTTAAGTATTTTTAATATATTTTCATGGGCTTCACATTATACATGCAGTGCAGTTACACACGTTCAACGATACAGTTATGAGAGAGAAGTGAGGAAGAAAAGAGGATTTGAAGCCTGGGCAATCCTATTCCCCATCCCACTGAATCTGCTGCTGCCTCCTGAGACCTCGGTTCCTTGAGGCTTCTCATCAGGGGAGCACCTCACTACATAGACTGTGGTTCTAGGTTTAAAGAGATATGTTTTGGGTTCAACATTCAAACCAGCTGCTTTAGCTGATGAGCACACTAAGAGTGAGGGATATGAAATAGTTGCGGAGACACTGGCTGATGGAACTCACTGAGATGTGCCCATCTCCCACATGGTACCATGCTAAGGCATGGCAGAGGTAACCTGAGTTTTGACATTTCTACCTGGAGTGCAGATTTGACAAACGAATCCCTTTACAACATGCCACTCCACTGTTTACAGCGGAGATCACCTGGTAGTTTGATGTTTAAATCAAGTGACTTAAGCTCTTGATCCTATTTTCCGTGGGAAGGTCAGCACTTTCCCTAAGATTCCCACCATCTCTGGGGCAGACATTCCCATAGTTGGCTCTGCTCTGGGTCCACTTGTCATGTGAAGCCACTGCACGCTGCCCCCAGTGCCAGAGTCTTGTGTGGGATGTGACCTCTGCTTTTGGTTCTCACCTGACCCTTCTCTCAACTGTGCGCTTAGCAGACTTGAAACAAGGTCTGGACATTTGGGAGGGATTTTAAAAATTCATCGTAACACCCACAGAGTGAATTACTTTTCCTTTCACTGTTTCTGAGCCATGGGCTTTGGGGGGTATGGAGAAAGAGGCAGGACAGAGGGGTCTGTAGCCTCTCAGGCTCTCAGGAGTGACAAGGATGTACATATTCTCCCAGAGCTGAGAAAACACCTTTGGGACGTGGGACTTGAGCTGTCCTGTCAATTATTCCCCCAGTTAGCAGCTGACTGGCTGACACAGTCCTAGTAGAAGAGGAACATAGGGTAGACTGCTGCTCACTGGGGAGCAGAAGGGGAAGAAGCCGCGGGAGCCCAAGCCAGGATATGTATGTAGGTATTATAAAGGGAGTGGTCCTACAACATTCTGCGAAGGGCTCAATGCATGTGCCCCATGACACATGCCCCAAGGAGAGCTGCACAGAGCGAGCCAAAGGCCAGTCCCTGTTACCCAGGGAAGCAGCAACCACTGAAATAAAGGGGATCGAGTCCTCACTCTGGGCAGCTAAGTAAAGAGACACCTCTGTCCTTCCCCTCTCTGTCCCAATACCAGGGGATATGTGTGGAATAGATAGGGGTAATGAACAGACACCCCCCAACCCAGCTTGCTAAGATGCAGGTCTAGTGTTTGGGGTTTGAGGGGGGGAAGCAGTAAGAAGCAGAGAGTTATTGCTTGAAAATAATTTTAAAGTTGTGAGATGCATAGGATTGAGTTGTATTGGAGACAAAATGTGACCAAATGGCCCCTGATAAATGGAAATAAATGGTATTGGACTAAGATAATACTAAGCATCATTAAAAGAGGGTCTGAAAGTCCAGCCCACGGTTGGTGGCAAGTTTGTGTTTGAAACCCTGGCAAGTGGAGGTCCCTCAACAAACTGTATTCAATTGGAGTTATTGGGTATTAGCTTTTCAAAGACTCCATTGTTATGGCCAAAATACCTTTCCAGGAAGATTGTCCTTTCCCCAGGTGTCTGACTGAATATGCCCGCTTTCCATGATGATGTTTGTTCAGGCCTGGAGAGGTGCAGTCTTGATTCATGGGCCATCAAAGGCCAAACAACAGGGGAAGGGGGTCACCAGAAAACTGGCACCCTCAGTAATTTGTATGAAAGTGAGTAAGAGCATGGGAAAGGGCTATGTTCAGAGTGGGTATGAATGGGTATCAGGCTGTTTTTTACCCACATTCACTGCCATATTCTTCCTTTCTTACTCTGAGTTGCAGTTCTAGCCGCCTGCTTCTTACGGCAAGCAGCCTGGGAGTCCGCAAACCAGGAGCCAATGCTGTCACCCAAATTGCCCTCACTGAAGGCATAGCTGTGTGTGTAGAGCAGGGGTCCCCAAGCCCTGGGCCACAGACCAGTAGCAGTCTGTGGCCTGTTAGGAAGCCAGCCACACAGCAGGAGGCGAGCTTGAATGTAATGTACTTGAATCATCCTGAAACCATACACCCCCAACTCAGTCAGTGGAAATACTGTCTTCTATGAAACTTGTCCCTGGTGCCAAAATGGTTGGGGACCGCTGGTGTAGAGAATGACACAGTGAGAGAAAGCCGTGGAGAGGGGCAGGAAGGAAAAGAGAATTAGAAAGACAGGCCATTTGAAAACTAAAACTACCCCGACTTCTTTCATAGGCTCTGTCTTAGAAACAAGAAGAGGAAGATGGGCTGAAAGGGGGGTTAGTTTTTAGCAACCATTTGAAAACTGACAACTGAGGAAGAGAGGCCAGAACCACAGACGAAGCCAACATTTTGCATTTC